TTTGTCTGTTTAACAATATTGATATGAGTATCGCTGGACAAAGACATGTACCTTTTGTTTTGTCTATTTAACAATATTGATATGAGTATCGCTGGACAAAGACATGTACCTTTTGTTTTGTCTATTTAACAATATTGATATGAGTATCGCTGGACAAAGACATGTACCTTTTGTTTTGTCTATTTAACAATATTGATATGAGTATCGCTGGACAAAGGGACAAAGACATGTACCTTTTGTTTTGTCTATTTGATATTATTGATATGAGTATTGCTGGACAAACCCTAAATAAAGACCACACTAAATTTAGTGACTAAAACAAACTTGAAGTTATCAGTACTATTAGGCACAGTACTGTAATGGAGATAAAAGACTTGAGATAAAAACTATGGCGGATAACAATCCTTCATTGTACTGATTACCAGGAAACCTAATCCCACAGCAATCCAGCCTCTAGTGTAAAAAGTATTGTTTACTTATTGGTAGGTATACATAAATAACAAATCAGATCATCATAAATATAGCACACCATATTTCAATTATGTCAATATGAGATAAGAATCATTTCAATATGAACACATCTATCTTGGTTGATGTTGAAGTTGTGTATATGAACAATGCTTTTAGTCCCTGTGCAGCATTGTGACTCACTCATTTTAGCACAATATGAAGGCTGCAAGCAGCTGATCAAAGGATCAGTTCTCATTTCAACAGGTACAATACCTGTGGTTATCCTCTACAGCTCTCATAACAAACACAAAGATCAACACCAGAATGATTTCATTTCAATCTCTACTGCTCTTATGATGAATACAAGGATTAGCACTAACATGGATCTATCTTACTCCCTAAACCTGTCACAATGGGTACAAGGATTAGCACTAATATAAGTCTATTTTACTCCCTAAACCTGTCATGATGGGTACAAGGATTAGCACTAATATAAGTCTATTTTACTCCCTAAACCTGTCATGATGGGTACAAGGATTAGCACTAATATAAGTCTATCTTACTCCCTAAACCTGTCATGATGGGTACAAGGATTAGCACTAATATAAGTCTATTTTACTCCCTAAACCTGTCATGATGGGTACAAGGATTAGCACTAATATAAGTCTATTTTACTCCCTATACCTGTCATGATGGGTACAAGGATTAGCACTAATATAAGTCTATTTTACTCCCTATACCTGTCATGATGGGTACAAGGATTAGCACTAATATAAGTCTATTTTACTCCCTAAACCTGTCATGATGGGTACAAGGATTAGCACTAATATAAGTCTATTTTACTCCCTACAACTAAGCGATAGCTAGCTGAAACATGTACATACCATATGTATTTGCTGTACTTTAGCAATTGCCATTGTGGACCAACCCATTAAAAAGGCCAAAATTAAACAATCACCAACTGTATCCAACTCAGAAGATCCAACCATTACAGATACTACTACTACTAACACTATCACCCGAATGTCGGACGACAATTTGGCTCATTTTTGAGCATGCAGAATTTACATCTAAACTCTGTCAACGCAATGTGACCATAATGTCACCATTGTATTCTCAATAATATGTGATATAGAGAATTGTAATTACCTCACAGCTGAGGCGTAATTTTAACCTTAGCTATACAAATATTTATAGCATTGTTCTGATGAGAAGTTCTAATGACAACTTATAAAAAAATACCATGGAATTGAGATGTTGATGTTCTATCTTCTATGTCATTTATAAGCCATATAATGTTGGTATACTGACAACAACCTATGTGCAGTATATGTATCACAACACGGACTGTACTAGCTTTAATTATGTCTTGATTGTGATATAGATATCATATTTTCTACGAAACCAGATTTCTTGTTTTGAAAAAGGAAACAAACAAAAAAGTCATTGCAATAATGGAAATAGACAGAAATTGCTGATAAAACGGATTTCAGTCTCTGAGCTTCCATTTCTATGTAATTTGATTTACAAGTCTTGGCTGCATTGCTTCCAAATGCTTGAGATAACTACAGGGCAGCATCAAACACAAGATCATCTCCTTGGAGTTACAAGAAAATCACATGCTTGAAATGTTTGAGATAATTTTTGATACAACATACATAGAAAAAAAGATTGCTGACAGATAGTGGTCTGGAGCTACATCCTCAGGAAATCCTGCCTTCTTCCTTAGAAGGCATAGTTACACACAACATGTGTGTTCAAGGTCTGGCTCATCCCAGGATAATTACCATCACACCAGATCAGCTAATAAACACTTTCTGGCTTCATTTTCTCCCAAATATAAAACGGGAAGATTACATGATCTTGAGACTTGATACTTCACAATATTGCAGTTTGGCAAGTTACAAGTATCTGGCACACAATTATTTAAGCAATATCCTGATTTAACCATAAGTTAAAACATTATAATGAAAATCTGTACAAAGCATTTAAGTCTTTATACCAATCCTAAATCTTTACCATAGATCTACCAGTCCAAACTAAACATAGTTAAACTAATTCTAACATTAACCATAGTTATACCAGTCCTAACTATTTACCATAGTTATACCAGTCTTAACTCTTTACCATAGGTATACCAGTCCTAACTCTTTGTCATAGCTATACCAGTCCTAATTTTTTACCATAGGTATACCAGTCCTAACTCTTTGTCATAGCTATACCAGTCCTAATTCTTTACCATAGGTATACCAGTCCTAACTCTTTGTCATAGCTATACCAGTCCTAATTCTATACCAAAGCTATACCAGTACTAACTTTTTACCATAGTTATACCAGTCCTAACTCTTTACCATAGCTATTCCAGTCCCAACCCTTCCCCATGGTCAGCCTATGGCAGAACAGCTATTTTCCACATACTCTATGTGACTATTGACCTACAATGGATTGTCTATTGTTATTAATTAAATATTATTTACAAAATCATATGATTTAATCAAATGAAAGATAACATGGAACAATGCATAATATTAGACGTTATTACATGTGAGTGTGGAGACAGTGACCAGAACGCTACAACACTAGAGGTTGTGTAGGAACAACAACAGGTAAGTATATCCAGGTCAAAGTGAAGTCAATCTATCTCTCATATACAACCACGTCACCAGCATGACGATTCTGAAAACACTGAGGAAACAGACTTAGAAATAAGTGAAAAATGACAAAATGTTTAATGGTTAGCATGTTTGTTATGTTTTCGGAAAACACTTCACTTTGGTTATACTTCAGTACAAACAATCAAGATTTTCCCTATTAAAACCTGATTGTACAATAATTCCTTTCAGTAAAGAATGAAATGTATTTTCCATATCTAATGTGTTTTTTTATTTCTCTGATTGAAGACACGATGTATAAATAGGAGAATTTGTCACTAATCCCATTTAAATGAATCTCCGCCCACAATCCTCGTCATCTCACATTCAAGTCTAACATAATCTAATATATATTACTAGCCAAAATCCAATCATGTGGACATTTACTTGAAAAGGATAAAAAATTTAGAAAAATGAAAGCCAGAAATGGTGTTACAAGGCCACCATTAAATAAGAAGATCCTGTTTACAGAATATTTCAAGTGATAAATGTATAGGGTGACATATCTTTCCGTGTTCAGGACATCTCAGGTGATTACTGTACAGGGTAACAGATCTTCCTGTGTACAGAACATCTAAGGTGATAACTGTACAGAATGTCAGATCTTCCTGTGTACAGAACATATCAGGTGATTACTGTACAGAACATCTCAGGTGATTACTGTACAGTGTGATAGAGCTTCCTGTGTACAGAACATCTCTGGTGATTACTGTACAGAAAATCTGATCTTCCTGTGTACAGGACATCTCAGGTGATTTCTGTACAGGGTGACAGATCTTCCTGTGTACAGAACATCTAAGGTGATTACTGTACAGGGTGACAGATCTTCCTGTGTACAGAACATCTCAGGTGATTACTGTACAGAATGTCTGATCTTCCTGTGTACAGAACATCTCAGGTGATTACTGTACAAGGTGATAGAGCTTCCTGTGTGCCCAACTTCCTGTGTACAGAACATCTCAGGTGATTTCTGTACAGGGTGATAGAACTTCCTGTGTGCCCAACTGCCTGTGTACAGAACATCACAGGTGATTACTGTACAGAATGTCAGATCTTCCTGTATACCGGACGTCTCAGGTGATTACTGTACAGGGTGATAGAGCTTCCTGTATGCCCAACTTCCTTTGTACAGAAAATCTCCAGTGATTTCTGTACAGGGTGATAGATCATCCTGTGTACAGAACATTGCAGGTGATTACTGTACAGGGTGATAGAGCTTCCTGTGTACCAAACTTCCTGTTTACAGAACAACTTAGGTGATTACGCTACTGAATGACAGATATTTCTGTGTGCCTTACAACCTGTGGAACATCTCCAGTGATCGCTGTACAGGGTGATACAGGGAATTTTTGCTGTATACTCTTCATAACGTGTTTCTTGAATGCCAGAAAATGATAATACTCATAAAGTTTCTTTTTACCACAAGTTCACATTTTCATGGTTTTCCAAATTTTGAATTAATATTGATGTATTTTTTTACAGCCATGATGCAACAGTCCATTAACTTTCCTTAAGTTAATTTCATGATATCTTTTTGCATGATTTTAGTCATTACTTGTAAATACCAAAAATAGGATTCACTGAATGAACAGAACAGCCACTCACCATAATACAATTTCTAATGTAATCATAGGTCATATAACAATATTCATAAATACAATTTGTCTTTGTCTTTAACAGGTACCAGTCGACTGGGATATATGAAGTGGTAGTCAATATTCACAACAAAAGTAATGTAAAAAATACTGATCTCCCTCAATATAAGTGATTCAGCACTTTTTTTATAGAGACTTTTGTGAGCATTGTAATCAAACTGACCTGGAAATTTAACTTTTATTCTGTGTTTTTACAAATGTGTACAACAGTATTATTTTAGACTTGTCATATAGGAAAACATACCTTTTTTCTTTGCAGCCTCAATCATAGTCTCATACTGCTGTCGATGTCTCTCTGCCTCCTCAGGATCTTTGGTAGGCAGATTCCTGTGGAAGCAATGCTCTGTCTATTAGATGTGTCACACAAGGTCACATAGTAGAGGTCAAACTAAAGCTGTCAACCACCTCAATACTGAACACATTATCTAACAACTTACCATTATATACATTGTATTTTCATAAACAACTGAACTTTAATGAAAAAAAACCACTGTATTTGGGAAAACTGGTACAGGTTTATATATTAAGCCTAATATTTAATGGGCCTGATTTAGGCCTACTGAGAGTCTGAGAGTCTATTTAAAGCCTATTACTCACACAAACCTCATTTCGGCCAACTGACATCTTTCTTTTACAATGTATACAACCTAATACTTACATGGGTCTGTTTTCGAGTATCAATGCTGTGGTTGACATGACCTCAATATCCTGCTTTTTTGCTGTCTTGACAGAATTGTTCTGATTCTCTCGTTGTTTGTATTCCAGGGAGATCTGTTCAGGGTCCTTAACAGGCACCTGTTTCGGTGTCACTCGCCCAAACAGCTTCCATCCCTGTTGTTCAGATTCAGGATCTAGCTCTTTTGGTTTGCGGGAAAATATGTTCCTGAAAAATTAACAAAATTGTTTATAATCCAATAAACATATAGAATTCTAGTAAACAAACAGTTAAAGCAATATCTTGTTTCTGTAAAGTAAAACATTAAATGAAAATATCGTGATTTAGCTGGGACCTCTGTTGCACCATTTCTATACCAACGTAAGAAAGATACTTCTTGATGAAATCTTCACTTATATGACTGCAGATCATCTAAAACTCTGTTAAGTCGAAGAACCCATTCAACTGAAGTGTTCATCTGGTCGAGACCAGTATTCTCACTTTATATTATCATCAGTTATCATTAATTCAAATACCATAAGTTTTCATGGTTCAGTTGACTTCAAGAAAACAAAGTTTGACTGCATTCTAATACCGGTAACACATTTCAGAAACAGTCAAGCATTACCTGAAGACATAATATCATAACTTTGCGAAAATAAAAGTCAAATGTATGTTAAATCACAGTAAGGGATGTGTTGATTATATCAGCACTAGATAGCTACCTCCTGAAACTCTCCGTCTATCATACTCCCCATTGTACTGAATCACAATTCATCGTATCTATAAACATCAATCCTCAATATATTCATTAATGTTAAAATCATAACTGATCATCCCTACTGTAAATTAATGGTGATTACCTGCTGTGGTACAATTCCATAGAGTGCAACGTAAGGGTGATGTGGCTGTAGTGTGTATATGACAAACACGCCCCCTTGTTAGGGTTATTATGTGTGGGGCACACTGACATCACCACACACAGCCTTGGTAATGGACACCAATAAAATGTCATTAAAAATCTAGTTACATAGTCTTAAATAGAGTAGGGCAAGACTGGTTCTAATATGGGTAGGACAGTCCTGAATCAGGAAGAAGCTGGTCCTAATAAGGGGCACAATAGACCTGTACTAGAAAGAGGGTGGTCTTTATGAGGGTCACAACCAGTCCTCCATTAAGGAAACAGCCGAGGTTATATGAAGAAAAATATTACTGTTGACACATAACTATACAATTTATAGCAGGACTTGAGATTCATGTTCTATCATAAAATTTACTTATTATGTGTGAGAGTAGCTAAATACACAACCTGTTAACCTGATTCTGCAAATTATAACTAGCCCAATCCATAACATTAACCACACCTCTGTAAATACTAGTCCTTTTGTTCACATTAACCACACCTACAACACCTAGATCTGTGTTTGATCACATTTACCACACCTACAACACCTAGATCTGTGTGTGATCACATTTACCACACCTACAACACCTAGACCAGTGTATGATCACATTTACCACACCTACTATACCTATATCTGTGTGTGATCACATTTACCACACCTACAACACCTAGATCTGTGTATGATCACATTTACCACACCTACAACACCTAGATCTGTGTGTGATCACATTTACCACACCTACTACAACTAGATCTGTGTGTGATCACATTTACCACACCTCTGTAAATACTAGTCCTTTTGTTCACATTAACCACACCTACAACACCTAGATCTGTGTATGATCACATTTACCACACCTACTATACCTAGATCTGTGTGTGATCACATTTACCACACCTACTATACCTAGATCTGTGTGTGATCACATTTACCACACCTAAAACACCTAGACCAGTGTATGATCACATTTACCACACCTACTATACCTAGATTTGTGTGTGATCACATTTACCACACCTACAACACCTAGATCTGTGTATGATCACATTTACCACACCTACAACACCTAGATCTGTGTGTGATCACATTTACCACACCTACTACACCTAGATCTGTGTATGATCACATTTACCACATCTACTACACCAAGATCTGTGTATGATCACATTTACCACACATACAACACCTATATCTGTGTATGATCACATTTACCACACCTACAACACCTAGATCTGTGTGTGATCACATTTACCACACCTACAACACCTAGATCTGTGTGTGATCACATTTACCACACCTACAACACCTAGATCTGTGTGTGATCACATTTACCACACCTACAACACCTAGATCTGTGTATGATCACATTCACTACATCTAGATCTGTGTATGATCACATTTACCACACCTGCTACACCTAGATATGTGTATGATCACATTTACCACACCTAGATTTCTTCATGACTATAAATGCTAATTTCATTTCTATATAGTGTTCTTGTGCAGTTCTGCTTTTTTGCTAGACATGTTAGTCATTACAATATTGATGTTGGTTAAAAATTATACCATTAGCTAGGGTGTAAAGGTCAGATTTACTCCTGTTGAAACTGACACATACTGAAATGAAGTTACTGAAATAAATGTTTATGAGATGTGAGAAGGCATATTTTAACATTTGAAGGCTATCACAGTAATGGAACTTGTCCAAGTAATTCATGTAAAAAGACAATGTTTTTATACAGAGCTGTGTGCTCAATGATATTGCATCACTGAAACATGCCTACACTGAGACTGTAAACCTGATGCAGTACTTTCACATTGCAATTATCAACAGTTCAGTACTCCTTGATACCCCTGTATTGACTTCTTGTGTAATTATATCTCAGTTTGGCTGAGTGAAGTGATGTAGGCAGTACTTACGTAGGGGTTGTAAGGATTTCAAGTGTGAAGTAATTATATAGAAACCTAACTGTAAGATTCGAAAAACATTAACGTTTAATTTTATGAAAGAAGTCCCGCCTACATAAGTTAAGTTTATTACCAGTACAGGATCAGCTAAGATCCTCTACACCGATCTCAAACATACAATAGTAACAATATAAAGCAATATCACATCCAGAACAAAATTGTATTTCAATATCTGGTTTCCTGTTATGGTTTCACAATTCACTGATGTGCCTGGTGTATGTAGGTACTACGTTTAATTGGACATCTACAGCAATAATCACATACCAAATCATGTGGTCGTTATGAAAGTAAACATTAACGTTTCCTTGTTGAACCTTGCAACTAAATCTTGTTATTGATATTTTAGTCAAGGAAATAAACTTGGTACTCATTTAGTAGTTGTTTTAAAATTGACAAGTTATTTCAGAAACTAACATTGAATACAAACAAGTTGATACAATACTCCTGGAAATTTGGCTAACTTTTGACAGAATCTTTATAATTCTGTATCCATCCTGCTATAAGCACTGGGAGTCACATTTAACCATCCTCAAAGTCAGGGTGATCATATCATTGGTTTATAAATTTGATAAATAGCAATATTTAATGGTTAATGAGTGGGCTTATTGTCAGGCATGGGCTACTGTTATATAAATACAAAAAATGATTATCTCCAGCATAATGATATGTTCTGCAGTATCATTCATTAAAAGTTGAAGACTTATGAAAACTTAACTGTACTTTAAACAACTAATGATAAAAATACTCTGGTGTTTCACATGACTTGTTATTCGTAATGTAAATATTATTAATTTTACATTGATTGTGAAACGTGCTTAAAGCTTATATTAATTGCTCTTGTTGGCCTGGATGGAAGGGTGTGAGTGGCCTAATTAATGTGGGAGGGAACCAAAGTTTTTACAGAAAATGCATATTGGCAGGCAGGTGACTCCCATATGTTTTCATGCCCGTTTGGGGAATTGAACCCAGGATGAGGTGATAGGCGTGTGTGTTACCACATTGCAACCTGACCATCCATCCATTATTTTGTCATAATATTACATGAAATTAAACATAAGAAATTGAAGCAATATGACAACATAGAACATACTGTTAGCATACAATTGTTGGTTTGTGTAGGTATTAGCCTGTCAATGTAAACTAATATGACAATTACAGACAAATATGACAGGCCCTCTATATATATATATGATATACCACTATATTTTTCCTACAAGTTGTGATGACAAAAAACGGAGTAGAATATGATTCACTGCTGTCTTCTATCATTGAGGGCCTTGACCTACATCTGTTTACATAAACACTTGTCAACTTCAGTGTCCATCCTCACTTCCAACATCACATACTCTAGATTACACAAGGTGCTAGTTTAACCATTTCTATATAATATCCGTGGATTACAATATCATTACTGTCTACAATCATATTAAACATGAATAATCAATAATAAATCAATTGCTAAGCAGTAGGAAATGCTCTTTTTGATCTAAAATTGATGTAATCATTATTAACACACCCTACATCTATCTGGCAATGAGCCAAGCCTGCTAACAAAACTCTTCCTGTCTATTGTTATATATCAACTAGTACTTCATGTAAGAAGTACTGTAAACACACATATTTTTGAGGTAATATTATTTTCAATGTTTTTCACATGTAGCAATTACAGTGCATGTGCTAATTCATCATTAGGCTAATTCGCCAAACAGTGATAACACAATTTAATTTGATTAGACTAAGGATGACTGAAATGTATATTGTAATTTGTAAATGTATTAGCTGAAATATACTGTATGCATTCAGGAAAAAAGAATGAAAAAAAAATCATTCAGATCAAATACCATTTATTACTAGTTATTCAAAATGAATGTGTGTAACTATGCTTAATGCAGTCAATGACAGGGCTTTTTTAAGGGTGTTTTCAGGTTGTTTATTAATGGGCCTCATTCTAAAGTGAAATTATTTCATATTTGAGCATAATTCCAAAAATTTGCATTTCATTCCTGAAAATTTCCTTCCAAAAAATCACCATTTTTCTTCTCAAAATGAGACAAAGAGCCCAGGATAAATAAAAGCTTAGGCAGTATATGAAGGCCCTGTGAATATGAGTCAATTTTGTTATGAATAACACAATAATTCTGTAGTACTGTTATCATATCTCAATGTAGACTTCAATTAATCACATCTGCATTATCCTGGTATTAATGAAAACCTACATGTACAGCCTCTATTATTACTGACAATGTGATAATCAAGTGTGGTTAATACATCTGTGGAGCCATCAACTACCCTGGTACTGAACTGATATGTGGCATCTCAGCCACCCTGGTCCTAATAGTGAACCAATAAGTACCG